AATGAATGTACAATATGTATGTGTATACCCAGCGACGTATGTAGATATGTACTCATACATACATCTATACCCCGCAGAAAACAAATTATCAATTGATAAAAAGTAGTCCACTTTTTGCGGGATTTCGATAAAATATACAACTTTTAGTTGACTACAAAAAGCTAACTTGAAACTAGTTGAAAAGTAATGTAGGAGTCATGCAAACGTAATCGGGGTTTGATTTTTTTTAAACTAGTTTCTACTTAATTATCCTCATTCAAATTTTACTTTGTATACACTCTTTTTCACAAATACTGTTGCGAATTCAGGACAAATAAAATGAAGATCGAAATTTCTTATTGTCATTTTCAAGTTATGTCTGACGGAATTCAAATATGGGACAAAATATGCAACAAAATATGTTAACCAATATATATGTAATGTTAAATAGAGTAAATAAATAAACATGTAAAAAAATTAAAAAAAAAACATATGCCTTCTTATATCAATAATATGTCCCAAAAGTAGTTAGTTACAAGTTTGTTGCCACCAAATGCAGAAATATATGTAGTTAGCTCTCCTCAAAGAAAATATTATTGTTTCTATATTTTCTTTACTAATCTACTTCAAGTTAACTGATACATTTCCTGCTGAGTATACATAAATACAGTAGTGGCCATATGAAAGTTACAATTACACTATACGTCGAAATCAACTTTTTTTCTGGGTATTGGACCAAACCATTTTTTTAAGAGATTGTCTTTAAAAAAGCAATTTCTTCATTTTTCAAAGTTAGCCTCCGAAATCGAGATATAGGCATTCGAAGTTCGAAATTGGACTTTTGGTAAAAAATTACTTTTAATTATTGTATGTAAAACGCTTACTTAAATGGTATATAACTTTTTTTTTGTGAAAACTTACATTACAGGTGCTATAAGGGGTCAAAGGTGACGTTATTTGTTTTTGTTAACTTTATACCTAGCCTAATTATAAGTAATGTGAAATGAAATTTTACTTGTTATGCTAGGGTCTTTTCAAATAAATACTTAAGTACAAATTTGTACAAATTAAATTAAAAAAATAAGTTAATAGTAAAAACAAATATTTTTAAAGCAAGCATTCTAAATATGAACGAAATCGGACCATAAATAATGGTTTACCAAATATATCGACTCGTGCGCCACCTACCGACAAAATTTTTAGTGAAGTTATTGCTTCTCATGTACATAGTTAATATACGTTCTAAATACGAACCGAATCGGACTACAATTACGGGGTTTTCAAATATCTCGACTCCTCCTCCTTAACTCATCTTTCGTATTGCATTGTCATCGGGTTCTGAGCCAACTGTGAAGTTTCAAGTCTGTAGGTCATCAGGAAGTTGGTCAAAAATTTAATTCAAGATTTACCCCTAACAAACATACATACATATGTACATTAGACCGCAGCAAAAAAAAAGTTGCGGTTTTTCCGCCGGGATTACAAAATGTATTATATTTTAAGAAGATTTCGGAAGAATATTAAGATTTAAGCGAGCTGGACCGATTTGAAAATACCTCCAAAAATTGAGTTTTTTATGAATAAAAAGAGTTTCTTAAAGAACTTTTTGAAAAAAGTCCGCTCATATGACAAAACAGATTAGGCTTAAAAAATCTGCATACAAATATTTAAAAATCTTTTCAACGGAATCGTAATAATGAGATTTTTGATGCTGTTTTTTACTTTTTTCAGAGATTGATTTACGAAAAACTTAAATAACTGGGCTAAAACTATTTTGATTTAGACCTATGGGATCTCGGTTGAAAGGTATTTTCCCACTTATTTTATTTATGTGCAAAAAAGTCATTCGTCCTGTAAAATCTGGTTTTTGTAACATACGATAATTTTGAGCAAAGGGGTCGATATGTATGTATATCCAAAGGAAACAGTTTTTATTTGACGCATCTATGATTAGGTAAAAATATATTGCAAAAATGTGATTTACTATTTTGAACTTAAATTTTTTGCTTGCGAATCCAAAACCCCCACATTGGACCCGCACTTTAAATTTAAAAAATCTGACATCAGATTCGAAATCAGCGACCTCAAAAATCCCCGCATACCAAGTTTCAAATAAATTTTTTTTACTTCTGGTCGTTTGGCCAGCAAATAGTACACGGTCAAAAATTTGGGTTCAATTTTTAAACCGCACTGGGACTATTGCCTTTTTTAATCTTTTATAGTCTACTTTTTAAACCCGTCAATAGTGCAAAAAACAGTGATGAAGACAATGAGAGAATATTTTAGTAAAAAAGTGTGAATATATTCTTAATGTATCTGCAAAATTGTCCAGTGTAAACACCAAGTACGCGGTCATAAAGAACAGCTGATTTTTGTTTGCAGATTTGATTGCAGCGCTTTGTTTTCATTTATGATAGGTGTTAAAATTTGCATTTAAGCGCATAAAAAAGACATACATATGTATCTATGTAAATTCACAAGTGCTTACATAACAACAAAAAATCAAAAACAATCTTGTCACTTACCATTTTTTCCATTTTTTTTTGTTTGCAAAACATCAGTACGACATGATAAAACTAGATTCGTTATGTGGGTTGTATTGAGTAGGCACGCTGGGGATGGTTGTTGGTCAATGACGTTGAGGCATTGTGTTAATGTGTGAGTCAATGAACTTTTATGTGACAGCTAAAAATAAAAGAAATATAAAAGAAATTTTAGTAACGTTATGCCAGGCAACGTCAAGTCAGATATTTCAGCTAATTAAACATAAAGCAGAAAAGATTTCTACATTTAAAAACTTGGTAAATTAACCTTTAACATTTCCAATATTACTAAGAAAACTTTTATTCAAATACGGGTATTCTTGCAGTCTTGCCAGCGCGTATGCTTCTAATATCTTAAAATCGCTACTACCAAAAAATTTTATTTTATTTTTTACTGAATAAGGGGTAATTTAATTGCTATGAAAATTTTAACTTTTTTAACATTTTGTCATGCGAGTGTCACGTAACGCCAGGGTGGCTACTCTGTAATGGGATGCGAAAGAGCAATGCGATGAGATAGGCGATCGCCACAGCGTATTACTTACGATGTATTTGCCTATCGCATCACATTGCTCTTTCGTATCCCATTACAGAGTGTACTATTTATACATATCGCACGTTTAATAATATACAGAATTATTTATTTTAAAATTTCAATTTCGTGGGAAAACGCAATCAAAGTTTAATAAAGCAGACGCCATTTTTGGGAAGTTTAGTCATCTGTTAGGTTAAAGTTATTCTCCTTATCCAGCTTATTAATTGTGTCTTGAAATCGTCAAAATTAAAATTTCGAATTACATCTCAGAATTTTTTATGACCCATTTGCTTCCATATAACGAATACACACAATTTATTTTTATATGAAAGAAAACCGTAACATCCTCGACAAAAAAAAGTCTAAAAAATCTATGGTAAATTTTAGCTATTCAAAACTTGCACTTTATATTACTAGAGTTCAATGGCTACAAAACTGCATAATCAGGCTCCTTTTCTAATTAAAAAGGCTAGAAATTTTCACGAAAGTTTGTTGAATTTTTTTTAAATATTGCACAGAGTTTGAAACTTGGATATAGGCGCACACCACAAATCGGGGGAGAAGCCCGGCCAAACACTAACATATGCGTAAGCGCCAATCTATTATTGGACTGAAAAAATTAATTGCGGACCAAATTTTTATTTTTATTTTTTTTTTTTCAAAAACTATGCAAAGTGGCGTTAACAATTATGCAGCATTTGTGCATTCTATACTAATTGAAAAAAAGGAAAAAATAAGTATATACATACGTTACCTTTTCTTGAATCCGCAGCATTTGCCTAAATCTATGGGAAGGAAGCTAATTTCTTTAGTAAGATAGAAATTCTTGCACCTTTTCACTTTTTGTTCTACTATGTTTTCTTTTTTATTAATTTTGTAATCTAGCGATATTTAATGATGGGTCGACCGGAAACAGATATGAAAATTAACTCCTTCCTTGAGTTTTCTTCCTTTTTCTTTCCAACTATTGTGACTGAAAACGCGGCTAATCAGCTGAAGATCACAATCAGCTAGAACTGCAAAACTATCGATAGTCAGACCATCGACAGTATTCGATATTATTTCTAAAATTAATTCTTACAAGGCGAATCTATGCGAGGTGGTGTTGTTAGATCAGCTGATTTCTTTGCCTTACATGTATTTTGTTTTTGCTTTTACTGATTTGACAGCACACCCATCAAAGCAAAAACAAAATACATGCAAACTTTGGGGCAAATTAAGATTTGACATAACACCCGCAATACAAAATACATGTGGTCGTTGTTGTTGTAATATAAATTGGCCTTTAACACCTTGTATAAATTCGCCTTTGTTACTGGCGAATTTAGATTTTCGCCGCGGTCCTTCTGAATGTCAAAATGATGTGTTTGTTGTAAGATGAATTCACGTTGTTTACAACAAATACATCATTTTGACCTTGAGCAGGACCGCTTCGAAAATCTAAACTCGCCAGTAACACCACCTTGTATTAATTCGCCTTGGAATCGCATAAGATTTTCGCCCAGTTTAAGATTTATTTAAAAATGCATTCGAAAATGACGATTGGGTACCCTTGTAACCTACTGGACACGTTTTCTAAATTGTTTACAGTTAAATTACATTCATCCTTCTGACATAAGGGTGACGATATAACTTGAATAAACACTAGGGCTGTTCAGGATGTTGTGGAAATGGTCTTGTATTTGCAGTTGAAATTGCATTTGCATATTTTTGGCTTGCTGCCATGGCAACCGTGTGCATTTTATTGTTGTGAATTTACAAATGCAACGAATATGCAAATTCAAGAGCATATGCACGATATCCTGAACAGCCCTACCGAATCCCATGTCTGTCGGACTATCGATAGAACCATATTACAATTGATAGATAGTAGTGAAATTTAAAAAAAACATCGATACTATCGATAGTTTTTAAACTCTACAATCAGCTGCAGTCGTATTTATGCACAATTCAAAACCCGCTTATTGGTGTAGTATTTATTTTATCAATAATACAAAACCATTCAGGCAAAATAAGAATGATTGCAATTCGCAGTTGCTAAATGCACATCCGTGATTAATGAAAATAACTAAATTTCTCTCCGTTCAATTGCAGCACCCTGAATATTTCTGAAGATAGTTAACCTTAGTTGAAATATATAGCAGAAAATGGATTGCGATGCTGTGGACGACTCAATTGATGATTTCCTAGCAAATATTGAAATTCCCAGTGCTCCTAAAGTACAGAAAGTCGAGAAGCCACAAACTTTGATACTCAGTAATGCTTCCAATACAAATACATCGGCTGCATCAGCGAACAGCACCGCCACAGCGCCTTTGCCAAAAACTGCATCAAATCCACATTGCATACTGGTTAATCCTAAACAACGTGGTAATCCCGTGCTCAAATCCATTGTCAACATTCCTATCGAATTTCGTGACGATATCATACCAGATTATGTGGTGGGACGCACTTCGTGTATACTTTTTATATCACTTAAATATCACACGCTCAATCCAGATTATATCTGTCAGCGGCTAAAAGAATTAGGAAAGCAGTATGAATTGCGTGTACTCTTGGTACAAATAGATGCACCGGTAAGTGTCTACAATTGCAAGCTATAAACTGATTACTTAACTCTAAATCTTGTGCAGGAACCGCATTCAGCTTTGAAAAATCTAACACGTATTACGCTACTAACCGATTTAACTCTTATGCTGGCATGGAGCGCCGAGGAAGCAGGAAAAATCATAGAAACCTACAAGCAATTTGAAAAGCGTTCACCGGAGTGGATTATGGAACGCGTAGAATCAAGTCCACATCAAAAGGTTTGTTCGCATTTGCTCTAATTCAAGTCCTAATGTTAATGTAAACTATTTTCAGTTGGTTTCCGCATTGACAAGTATTAAGCCGGTGAATAAGACTGATGCAGTAACATTACTACAGAATTTCGGAAAGTTGGAAAAGCTTATAAATGCAAGCGAAGAACGCTTGTCGCTTGTGATTGGGCTAGGGCCGCGGAAGGCTTCGAAACTGTACAAAACATTACACGAGCCTTTTCTTACAAAGTAATTTTCTTTCCATAAAATAGTACAATAAAGATTTTTTATTACACCAAATAAAGCCAATCTACGAAAACTACATGGTGGAGTTCTTACCTATTTACTCTGTACACTTCCAAATTTTTATTGTACCATCGTCACTGCATGAAATCAATTGGCCTTGTTGCGATGGGTTCCATTTGACGGCATTCACATCTTGTGAGTGTGCTTTATCTTCTGACGTTATCATTGAAAATGTTGGTTCGTTCTTTTGTGAGTTTGCATCTTCTTTAAATATGCGTATCGCATCATCTCCGCAAGCAGTGGCAATTAAACCCGACTGTTTGCACCACGAAACGTCATAAATTGCTCTCGAGTGCTCACCAGAAATAGTGCATACACATTTCCAAACAGTTTCGTTATCTGGTGTATAAATGCCTTCCTCATTTCCTGGATGATATGCGCGCCAGATTTTCAATGTTTTGTCGTCACTGGAAGATACCAAACGCTCGCCATCTGCGTCGAAATCGATACCCCATACCGTACTGGTGTGCGATTCCAAAGTTGCGGTACTATACCAGTCGTTATCGGCAGCATTTTCAGCGTACATTTGTATTGTATTATCATAAGAAGCGGATGCCAGTATTTCTTTTTTCGGATGCCATACAACTCGCTTAACATCTTGTGTGTGAGAATTAAGTACAGCAGCACAATCGAACTCGTCTTCGCCGGCCAATTCCCAAACCCATACTGACTTGTCACGAGAGCAAGTGGCCAAAAGATTGCCAGAATTAGACCAACTAACGCTTTTAACTTCATTTTCATGACCCTCTAAAGTGGCGATACATTCAAATTCTCCTGAAAGCAATAACCAAGAAGTTGATACAATTTGTTTGTCTTACGTGTATTTCCTACCTGTCGATTTCGACCATATAGCTGTTGTGCCATCAAAGCTAGCCGACGTTAAGTACTGTCCACAAGGTGACCAACTAATTTCACGTATAGTGCGCTTATGACCATCAGATAGGATGGTCTTCGTAGTCCAGGCGTTTCCGGATAATGACCAAATGCGTATCGTTTTGTCTTCGCCANAAGTTGATACAATTTGTTTGCCTTACGTGTATTGCCTACCTGTCGATTTCGACCATATAGCTGTTGTGCCATCAAAGCTAGCCGACGTTAAGTACTGTCCACAAGGTGACCAACTAATTTCACGTATAGTGCGCTTATGACCATCAGATAGGATGGTCTTTGTAGTCCAGGCGTTTCCGGATAATGACCAAATGCGTATCGTTTTGTCTTCGCCACATGAAGCAAATGCATTACCTTTTGGATGCCAAGCGACTCCCCAAATTCGACCTTTATGGCCTTGCAAAGTATGTTCCAACGTTAAGTTAACCATTTTCAGCAGTAATAATGTAGAAAGTATTTGTTGAAATTATATTTTGTTGTGGCTAAACATTAATCAGCTGGAATTTATAAATTCGCAGGCGTGCGCGATGCTTCTTCGCGAAATCTTTTTCTCCCATTCACAATAGCACGCTGTGTAGAAAAAATGAATATTTACAGTTAGCAAACAGCTGTTATCACATTTCTCTACACATTTTTCTTATCAGTGCAATGGGAATGAATGCAATTAAAAATTATCAACAAAATTAAAAAATATTTGTAAAAATTTAAAATCAAGGGATATGAACGGCCTGATCGTCTTCAACAGCGCAAATGATGTCGTTTTCCAGCAGCTTAACACAGCACTTGCTGAGCACTTCTTCGCTAAAAACGCTGACCTCTTTCCCGAAAATGCAACTGCAGCCTCCATTGATGGGAATATCATCTTGCAAATTTTCAGCCCCATCATCAATTCTCAACGTATAATGCATTGCCAATTCGACAATACATATTCAAGTTTCCAGTGTGACAATGGACTTAATTTGGCATTCGGTGATTTGCTCGGATACTCGTTTGTAAAAATAGGTCAACGTCCAGTAGACACACTCAAGCGTCACCTTGGAGCAGCTATTGCACTTGCACGTCATTTTTACGGTGCAAATTTATTTGCCACACAAGCGAGCAGCGTACAAGAAGAGCTGCTTTCCACTTGCTTCGAAAGTTATGAAGAGCATCTGTGGGATGAGGAGCAAACTATGTTGCTGGAAGCGTTGCCACAATTGCTTATCAACAATGAACTGAAGCGTGTGGTGAACACTGCCCTCGATGGTGCATTGGAACATCTGCGCGATTTGGGCCATAACCGTACACATGCTTTGCTTTTCGCATCACACAAATTTGTCGCTTCTACTTCGTCGAAGCAAGCCCTCGCTTTGAGTCCATGCGATTTGGTATTTTTGTCGTTGCTTGCGCGTTCTCTTCAACGTGATCGGCGACCACTCAACCGTTCCGTGGCCGTGTTTTTGCAGGGCGCATCACATGATCCCCATTCTGGATGTGTGCCCTGTATTGCGCATCTGTCGCAACTTGCCAAAGGTATCTTATTGGTCCAGGTGATCGAATACGCTAATCTACAAGTAGCAAGCAGTATGTACGATACGTTCTTCGTACTCCAGAAGATAATAACGTTGCAAGTACAAGGTGACTCGGATGCAATGAGGCCCACTTATGAAAGCTTAGAATCATTTGTTAAGCAAACATTGGATGCACTTAAACGTTCCAAGTTAAAAGGTGATGAATTGGATACGTCACTGAAAAAGTTTGTTACTAAATGGGAAAACTTAAAGAAAATGTACGGAGATTTTTTCCGTTCGGTGGAGCGAGAGCTGTTAGTGAGGATTGAGTCCAATGTGCCAGCATTCATGGATGAATTAAAACAGTTGTTTACTTTAACTTGCTGCGACAGTTCGTCAATAGCTTTGGATCAGTTGCCAGAGGTGGCATCCTTAGTTGAAGGAAAGATGCTGGAGATTACAGAATTTTTAGCTGTTAAGGCAGAACGCAATATATCAATTGAAGCCTATTTGGAAGACTTTCCTGGTAACTTTTAAATCAGTTTTTAATAATTAGCACTAAATATTTTCATATACTTCAAGGACTCATCCATTTTGCATATGTTAATCGCACAACTGGTCTCATGATTGCGCCCGATTTGCTCGCTAATCAGTTGTCTTCTAAAGAGCGTTTATGGTCGATGGTTGAACTCTCCCGTAACTACTTAAAGAAAGGCCACTCTACTGTTATGTGGAAAGATAAAGTATTTAATTACTCATATTTTCTTTGGTTTGAAGATCAATCGGGTGGTCATATGAAACTAGTCGACTTGCAGCAATATATCGTCGCTTCGGCATCGTCAAGTAATTCATTTAAACCTCAGTTCGAACCAGGTTTGCTTGCTGCAGACTACTACCAACAACTTGCTGAAGTGTGCTTTCCAAAGTCTGTTCCAGGTAAAATTAAATGCTACGAACTCTTCTGTATTCACTTGGGTTTAGTTACGGCAACTTGTGCTGTGGAGCATTCACGACGTCTTGTGGCCACCATAGCCGACGTAGTAGGCGATAATAATTAATCAATTTCCTTTCATTCTAGTTTATCGAGATTCAGCAATGCATTCCAAAGATATTCATTTGGCATATTTTTACAAAACTGTTTATTTGTATTTTATTTGTAAAACTCTTCATATCTTTAACTTAGATTTAACATTTAATATTTAACACGAGCATTGCGGAACAACGCATGCGCTTAGTTAAAAATAAATCAGGCATTCAATTAAAAGCGTGAATTTACGAGTGTGTTTAGTTACTTCTTCAAATTAAGCTAGCCTTTATAGAAGTTGTAATAAAATCAATGATGATAATCTTATTTTTCGCCTCCTTGATTCGCCACCAACGGCCTAATTTGTGTTCTTGACCAACGGCTGCGAATAATTTCGTGCCATTACTATTAAACGCTAAGGCGTTTATGAAACCTGGCACTGGAATTTTTAAAATTTGTTTAAGTTTACGTGAATTGTCAAGGGACTGCCACAGTCGAATGTAACCATCGAAGGAACCTATAAATATACCAACACCTCTTAAGTAATAAATTTCTTTTTGTTGCCAGCTCGTTATTACCTGATGCTAATAAGTCTGTATTCACCACACAAGCTACTGCTGTTATCCAGTTGGGCACTCCATTGCTCTGGGTACCGTGCGCCAGCGCTTCTGTGCAGAGCGGTTTCTTTTTTAATGCGCTCCATAGACAGAGTGAACTGAATAAAATATAAAGATAATAAATAAAATGATAAATATAGAAGTCTGTATGTCTACTTCTTACCCATCTTCGCCTCCGGAAACGAAATTTTCATCGTTTATAAATTTAACACACTCTATGCCATTTTGGTGCGCGTTGTAGATCAGTTGTGATTCCTCAGTAATTTTCCATATACGTAATGAGCAATCGATGCCTCCTGAGGTAATTGCACGTTCACGACTCAGCGCATCTATGCCTGTAATGGGCGCCTGATGACCAAATCTGTAATAAAAACTCGTTTCAAGTATACAACATTTAAATTGCAATGTATTTTCTCACAGGCTCTCCACATAGGCCATTTCGTCGAGCGACCAAATTTTCACTGATCTATCCTTTGAGCCCGAATACAAGTCATGTGTATCCTTTCGGAAGACGAGCGAGGTAACCACATCTCTGTGTCCCTTGAACGTTTTTAAGTGTGTTAGATTCTTGGGGCACCAAATCTGTATGTTTCGACCACCTTCGGCCAGAGCTAAGTATTTCATGTCAGTCGATAAACATATTGCCGTAACGTGTGACCGACGCTGCGTGTCGCTTTTCTCATCTTCGTTGTGTGGTTGTACGTTAAATAACCCTTCCAGCTTTATTTGACCTTGTACGCTCCATTTCAGCACGAATTGTGTTTTAGCGCCACTAAATAGATATTTACCATCAGGTGAGACGGCAAACGCGCACATTGGTAGATGTTGCTTTTTATGTTTAAGCACAACCACATTCTCTGCATCATAATCTTCAATAGTGCCGGCTATATTCCGCCGCAATTTCCCCACGCTGTCAAGGTACTCTGACTGTAGGCGCTGTGCTACGTGGTCATGTAATTCACGATCTTCCACACGCTCCGCTTCTTGTTTTTCAATTTCTTCTAAGTATTGTTTCGCTAAACGTAATCGTTTGTCTTGTGGTGTCTCCTCTTCCACCTCATCTGATGAGAAAACCAAATTTGTGGCATCTCCTTCGCCGCTTCCGAACTCATCATCGCTGGCGATTTCTTCATCGTCCTTCTGCGGTCGTTTACGTGCTGGTGGTGCGTTGCTCGTTGGCTGTTTCTTGTCACTTCTTTTTTTGGCACCAGCTACTCGTGGATCTTTAGAAAGCTATAATCGCGGACCAAAGGATAATAATATTGATACGTTTGGGGTATTCATCGTATATGTATTTGCTTACCTTTCGTTTTTTATTCGCCTTAGGTTCCTTTTTAAGGAAGAATGAGGAAGACATTTTTTAATTATTTCTGCTAATGCTTTACTTCTTTTGCTCTATTTAATTCATAAAACACAAAATATTTTAAATCGGCGTGCACCTCGTTCTGCCACACGTGAAATTGGATTTGTTTTGACAGCGCAAAGTAGTCGTCGCCGGCGCACCTGTCAAATTCTCAAACCATTCACAATAGTGTTTAGTTGTGTAATAAAATGAAACTGTTATACGTACTTTACGAAAATTTCTGTTTTTTATAATCAGCAAAGATGATAAATGAAAGTCTTGCCGAGATATTTTTCGTACCAAAACTTTAAAATATAAATGGGATGCAGTCATTGCCGAGTCGCAAATCATGATATTTTTTACTTGTTCTCTTATGGCATCTTCACACAAGTTACAAGTGATTTTGGGAAAATTTTCCAAAACGGATCCAGGCTTTGGAAAAAACAAAATATTAGGGAGTATAGAGGAGCTTTTTCAGATTCTAAATCTGAAGACCCCACCCTCCGGAGGCTTATAGTTTTTAAGTAATTCGCATTTAAAGTTGCAAAAAATACCGCATTCAACCTCACTTTTTCCCTTGTACACCAAACTACTACTAAAAAATGCAAAAAAAAAACAACAAAACGGAAACAATGAAAAAATGCACATACGCCGCAGGCGAAAATTTTTATAATTTATCGCAGGATCGATTTTATAATAAAAAGCGCCGCGGTCGAAAAATTTTAATAAAAAATCGCGCGATTTTTTATTAAAAATTTTCATTATTTATCGAAGTATCGATTTTATAACAAAAAGCGAAGCAGGCGAAAATTTGTAATAAAAAATCGCGCGATATTTTATTAAAAATTTTCATTATTTATCGAAGTATCGATTTTATAATAAAAAGCGCCGCAGGCGAAAATTTTTAATAAAAAATCGCGCGATTTTGCGATTGTTATTTCTGTTTGTTTGTGAAAAGTGCAAAAACGAGTAAACGGATTTATAAACGCGTTTTAGTTAATTAATTGATGAACATATATATATATATTATAAGTATCAAATACGCACGTGAACATTGAAGATATTGGCTGTATTTCTTTATTCATTCTGAACGTTTGGAATAAACTTTTTTGTTTACNTTACTGTCGGCCATTGTTATTTCTGTTTGTTTGTGAAAAGTGCAAAAACGAGTGAACGGATTTATAAACGCGTTTTAGTTAATTAATTGATGAATATATATATATTAAAAGTATCAAATACGCACGTGAACATTGAAGATATTGTATATCAACCAAAATACAATTGATAAGTGGCATTTTGTACAAAAAGTTGGGGGTGGTAGTGAAGATTATTTAACAACAATCTGCTTAAATACTATTAACAACTACTTTGTGAGAGTGATACATTCATGTAGAGAAAGCCTCCCCCAACATCCTGACCAAGTTTCATGACTAAATTCCATATACTTTCGCTGAAATCTCGATTGGTTCCGTTTTGGAAAGCCAACCCGTGATTTTATGAGCAATTTCTGAATTCCTCGTTCATAGATTTTTTCTGAAATCCGTGACAATGCTATTACTGAATCCGAAAAATTAAAAATGCAGCATAATTCATAAATACAGCCCAATGTAGCAAATCGCACTTGCGAGAATAGGGCGTAGTGTGTTGTTATTGTTGTTGTGGCAGCAGTACTCAAGAAGGGGACAAAGGCATTAGGGTTGTCAGGTTTTCCGGACTTACGAAGAGATGTTTCGAGTCATGAGGTGTCTCTCCGCATGCCGGACACTCATTTGGCACATCTGCGTTTAGTCTGCTTAGGTATGAGTTTAACCTGCTGCAGTAGCCAGAGCGAAGTTGGGCTATTGTGGTTATTGTCTCCTAGAACGGCATTCACAGAGCTGGAGTCTACATAACTCGAGACTGACTCCCTGTGAATGCCGCTCAAGGCCTGTTGATAAGCTGATGGGTGCAGAGGTTGTTTGATGAACCTCTGGACTTCGCCCGTCAGTTCGTAGAGATGCCTCCTGACGTGGCTGGGTGAGGTCTCTTCTCCAAGCAGTTGTCCATTTGGGTGTCCACGTCTGTGGCTCCCAACAAGAAACTGCTTGCCATGGGTCGGCTTCATCCCCTGACTCTAAAATCTTGAGGCCAAGAAAGCGGGCAGCGTTGATAGGCGTCGTCCATAGTGCTTCTGGTGTCAGAGTCGTCGGGTTAGAGCTGCATACGAAGAGGTGTTGGGTGTTCTCTGTACCTTCCCCGCAGTCTGGGCAAGTTTCTGCCACTTCTGGGTTCAACCGAGAGAGATAGCCATTTAGTCTGTGATACCACCCATAACGGAGTTGAGCTAGGATGAACCTGATCTCTCTCGACAGTTGCGCTTCGTCGATTTTAATGGGCGGCTGGAGACCGCCTGGGACGATATTGTCGTTTCGGATCGTTTCGAAGCAGGTCGTTGTTGGGGTTATTTCCACGATGGTACGAAGAGGGGTTATGCTTCTTCACCTTCAGCATCTGGCTTTCTTGGTGGAGGTGATATTCGGACGACATGAGATGGCAACCTGTAACCGTGCATAGAGCTGCATTCTGGCAGGTTTGTAAATTTCTCCACTGTAAATTGCTGATGACTGCCGTAGTTTGCCAACGACCGGCCGATTGCTTTGTACATGGTGAGCATAGTTTTATTGTAGGTTCCCCAAGAGCTGCCGGCTAGTGACTTGAGGACTTTGTTTCTAGCTCGCATTTTTTCGCAGGTGGCTGCGGCGTGCGCCGAAGAGGAGAAAAGGGTATCTAACGTGATTCCCAAGATTTTGGGATGATTGACCGTCAGTATTCTATAGCCATCGACGCGGACGTCCAGTTCCAGACTGAACTCCTTAATCCAGGAGATGAACCGTGCGGCGCTGGATTTCGCGGCGGAGATGGTGAAGCTCAAGGCAGTGAAGAAATTTGCAAGATCGGTGAGATAGTCGGTGAGGTTCCCACAAAGGCTGTCGATGGTAGTCACCTCCAACTGTCGGCGGAGGGAGTTTTTTTACATGTGGCTTAGACTTGGCGTTTCGAAATTCGACCCATGATTGGCATCCATACAGACAGCTGGTTATCCATCGCTTCGTCAGATCAGGAAGTATCGAGTCCAGCACGTCTTGGCAAAAGGTCGCATGGTTTATCGTGTCGAGTGCCTTTGACAGGTCAATCGCGATTAAGACCGACCTATCACAGGTTCGACGTTGGTCCCGACCCTCGCTTATCTTGTGTGTTGTGGTGAGTCATTTGTAATGCTCATCCCAGTACGACCATATAGTAGACCATTACGAGGAATAATATATAACAATCACCAGAGAAGTTAGCGGGAAATTAATGAGGTATTCAGCGACCTCAAAAACCCCCAAACACTAAGTTGCAAATCAATTTGGTTACTTCTCGACTTTTGGCAGGCAAATAGTAGTCGTCGGAACTGCAAAAAGTGCATGCCTTTAAATGTCAAAAGACTTTTAATATTGAGCTGCATTTTATTTGATTTTATAATTTGGTCTTTTTCATCGTATACAATTGAAAATAAAAAAAGTTTTTTTCCTGTTTGTTCAAAGAAATAAAATTTTTGTGAAAACAGCTCAAAAAAATAAAACTTAACTCCAGTGATATCGGCTTTCAAAATTGATGGTCGAAAAATCGACAGGCGGCCGAATATGGGTTCGAGAAAAATAAAATCTGTATTGAATATATTTTTTTATATGATAAACCTCGATGTAAAATTACATATAAAAAAAATCATAAATTTTATATTTCGAAAAATGTTCTTTTTATTTTTACAATTGACAGCTATGGGATTTAAAACATTAACATTATCAAATACCAAGCTTTGCCGTTTTTTCTTGCCTAAAGTTTTTCCTGCTTGATTTTTCCTCTGTTACATTCAATTCATGCACTGGGTGGTAATATAAGTATTTTTCTTAATTTTAAGATTAAAAAATTCTTAGCACACGCAGACATCATTTACATTTAAACGCCATTTGAAAGCCTTTTTTTATTCAATTAATTGCCGTATGCAAATTCTTAGTAAACTCGCACCAAATGCATGAATACCAATCCTTACATTGATATACATATGTATGTATGTATGTACGTACATACATTAGTAATAAATATGCATGTAGTATATATGTATGCACACACACACACTCACACATGAAGGTAAATAATTAAAAACTACATTAACTACATACCAGTACACTTAGAATGAGTATTCGTTTACAACTATAAAATAACAGTAAAACTAAACGTACAAACATATGCCCGTTTGTACGTACACTCGTACGGCACGTATTCATCTAATAGTTATGCATGTATATAGTAATTTAAATTAATAATCCCTTATCGATAAAATCGTATAACTAAATTAGAAAAAAATATGGAAACAAATGCCTGTCAGTACCTACATTCAGTCCTCCTCCTCTCAGCGCTTAACTCAAACGTGCATCTATTGTTGGAGGCGGTGGCTGCGCTCTGGACTGCGGCGTCGGTGCTGGATCTGTTAAATCGGTAACTGTCGTCTTAATTGACTCATCCACGGAAGCGATGCGCGACGCGGCAGTCGCTTGAGGCGTTTGCTCGCTGCACTCGCTCGTAGTAGTAGTAGTAGTAGGCGCTTTACTCGTTCCGCTGGAAGCAACTGAATCTGGACTCGCTATTGTTGCCGTTGTTGTAGCACAAGCGCTTGATTCGGCGGTAGTTGTTGCAACTGTATCGACTGTACTCGCATTGTTCGCTGTTACATTTTCCGCACTGGTCGCGCTCGGTTGGAATAAATGAAAGAGACTGGAGTGCTTCACGATGGGCGGAAAAATGAGGTGACTGACAGCGCGCAACCGACTGAACTTGTCGTGGCCATGACAATGGATCGTATGCGGCAGCCGCTCTGTCGTGTGACAATTAAAATTGTAATTGTTATGATTATTGCTACCGTTGTTACTGTTATTGTGGGTAGGCGCTTTGGGCGCGTTTTTGCCATTGCTGGCGCTGTTGGAATGTGTGTTTGTCGGCGGCGTTTGCGTCACTTTTGTGCCATTCGCCACCTCTTTGGTGGGCGTGGACATGGACTCGCTGGTACAGGAATATGATCGACTGTTTTTATTCACTCCAGATGCCGTCTTATTATTGCTTGATTCAGCCGCCTTGTTGCTGTTCATAGGCAGGCGTTGCGCTTTCTTGAATTTACGCTTTCGTGGTGGCGACAACGGACTCGTGTCCTTTTCAACGACATAAACTCCCGCATTACTGAGTCCCGATAAGCTGGAAGTAGATCGTGAACAGGAACCGATACCGCCGCCGAAGCCGCCACCATCTGTATCACCAGTGCTACAACCGCCGCGTGCTTGCTCAACAGCATCCAGTTGGGATAACCGGCGTTGATGTGCCGTCTTCAGCAATCGGCCCTTGGCTGGCGGTGTATGGCCAGCGCTTTTCTTTTGCATATCACAATCACTGTATGAAGAGTCGGTGAGTGCGCGCTGGTTACA